TGTTGTGACGCATATTGTAGTGTTTATCTGTTCGGTCAATAGCTGTAAAACCAATTTGTTGTACTTAATCCTTAAATAAGTAGCACTATTAATGTGACGTGATTGCTTTTTAATCAGTATTATGTATTCTTATAATTATCAATACAAAAGCTTAGTAATTTGCTATATAAATTATGTTGCTTCGTTTTTATGCTTTTAATATTTAAATGTGATGCACAATTATAAAAGTAATTCATAATATTTATTTCGACATTAGTATATGTATACAAAAAATTTTGTTGTTGAAAAGCAAGTTTCAAATATATAACCATTCACTAATTCAATTTTGTAAGCAAATATAACAAAACTATTTCTATTATTACTAATATTTTCATTCCTAAACATGTATTAGGAATGTTTTATGCAGACTGTAAATTAGCTTTAATAAATATTATTGCTAATATAAACATTTTGATATTACTTGATTTTAATAAATCCATTCTAATTATACACTATATTATAATTATAAATGAATATACATATAAGACAAGTAAATAGTATTAATATTATTCTTGAATATTAAGGAACCCATTCAACTATGATCCGTAAGACGCTTCTATATACAAATAAAAAGACAGTCGATAGTTGAAGAGGGCGTCCTCACACTTATTGGCCAGGGAACCACGTTGCCAAGCAGGCAACTGACCAACAGGAAGGCTGGACTGAAGCAGCTGACCAATCAAATAGCAATAAGCCCCACGGTCGTCCATAATTTATGACAGGATAGTGCATGGTGAGAGGCGCCTGATGTCAGAGAGTTCTCTCTCTCACTCTCTGCCCCAGACACTCCCAGAGAGAGTCCACTCTCGCTCTGCCCCAGACATCATCCCAGGAGTCTCCAGACTGCTATACCTACAGATCAACGGTCTACAAAGACTGTCTTTTACTACAAAGATCGGTATTCTCTCAAGTCCTCCTCGTCACTTCATGACAGCATCAGCTTGACATAACAATACATGTAAGGTGCTCTTCCATTCACCTGCACTCCAAGAGACTTGTTCCAAGCGAGGTTTTTTTATATAACGTGACCGTGGATCACTAATTTCCCTGAGCTTCAGTAATAGTCAAGGGGAAAGTCGACAAATCCAGTTTGGCAGCAGGATGCTGCTTCTGGGAACTTTCCTTATTAAAACTACTCAGTAAGTCGAAGATCACTCAATAGCTTGGTCGATAGAGCTTCGTCCTCACACACGTGGGGTCCACGGTTCGAGTCTCCTAGAGCCCAGATGATTGGAATGTTTATTTACACGAAAGTGTGAATAAAAATTTACATCTAAGATGGTTTTAAATTCTGGGTTAAGAGGAAAAATGATATTTATCCATATTTATATTGTCTTTATTCATGCACTGGATTATCCTTTGTACTCGGAAATGTTATTATTTTCTTTCCTCAGCCAGTGCAGTGTAAACAGTCAAACGAATATGACGCTGCAATGGAAAATGACATCGCTGACGTTTGCAATGATTACGACAGTAAGGATCATTGGCATCTTGTCAACAAACGAAAGGACGTTTCGGAAGGTCAGTTGACATCTAACCTAATAATTAGTCATAGTAAAAATATCAAAACTGGTGATACTGGCAATGAAGGTGTTAATACCTTATGTGAGGGGAAAGGTGGAAAAACAAAGCTTATCTCATATAAAAAAAAAATGCTCAGAAACCACATTGCAAAGGAAAGTCTGCACAGCGCTTTCGAGCACAACGGCTGTGTCCGTCGTCAGAGATATAGTAGGAATGAAAGGGCTACCAAGGAGAGTGTAACGATGTCTTTCTGAGATTGTTGGCTGTTTCTTGGTAGCTCTCTGACACTACAGTTCTTTCTCTGGCGACGAGCACAGCTCTTGTGGTCGGAAGCGCTGTTACAACATGCTCGTTGTAAGTAAGTGCTCGTCGCGCTTGAAAGTAATATTTCAATGTAAGTGAAACATTAAAAAATTACTTTCAAGGATCTTTTGAAATTGGGACAAAAGGGATGAATTGTTCTCAATTTATTCTCTCTCGTGGTTACATAATTTTATAATAATTGTACTGAATTAATTTCTCCCAGATTTATACAGACACTATATCTACATAAATATAAATGTAAATGTTTCTTTATTCAAACTCGTTAATCTCCGAAAGTCCTTCACCAATTGTTTTGAAATTTTCACACAACGTTCCATTCGCATCCGGGCGGGTTTTTATATACATACTATACAGATGTCACGTCTGTGATGGAAAAAACTTTTTTTAAAACTGTGTTTTTCATGTGAGGGAACTCTTCGAAACCCTTTAACGAATGCTCTGAAATTTTGACACAACGTTGCATTCGAATAGCCACGTGTTTTTATATACCTACTATATAGATGACATCAGTGTGACAGGTAAAAACATGCTTTTTTGAAAACAGCTCTATCCGTTGTATGTAATTGCAACAAACGTTATACTAAATATGTTACGATTCCATTTCAATGCTCCGATTGCATTGACAAATTGAATTGTCATGAATTTATATTTATTTTCATTTCGATTTAATTATTTTGTGTGACATTACATTGGAATTGAGCTGAGTTGTTTACCATACCGTTCATTTCCTGAGTGTAGTTTATTTTTTTATTTTTATATTTTTTTAATTTTTTTTTTTACATTTTCTTATATTTCAGTGATGGGAACATCAGATCATTTTATGTTCTAAATTTTCTCATGGGAACATCAGAACTTTTGGGGATGCATCGGTCGAGGGAGTTGGGAATGATGGGGAGGACAAGGGGACGGGAGTGAGGGATGGAGGGGAGGACGAGGGGCCGGAGGAGTGGGGAATGGTTGGGAGGACGAGGGGAAGGAGGAGAGGATGGGGAAATAGCGGGGAAGACGGGGGGGGGGGAAGGAGAGGGTAGCTGTGGCTCAGCAATGCGTGGCCGGATACAGCTAGTAAGTGTATAATAATACACATTGTTATACAGTTCATAATAAAAGTCTGTTCGTAAAGTGATATTTCCACAAAATATCTGCAGCTATAATGAGTATAGCTAATTCACAATGTTTCCCAACAGATGAACATCGTATACCCGGATATGAGTGCTTGTTTCCTGGGCCAATTTAACGTCAGCACCAAGATTGGGTGTGGAGCCCAGTGTCTCCAGCAGTATGACTGCTCCCTGTTTTGTCTCTCAGGTTGGTAATTACATTCACTCTCCTTATACACAGAGCAACATAGTCTCGTATGATCACATTATTGTAATGGAACAAAGTCCGGATGATCGAAATTCCTCGCTACATCTACGTGGACATTCTTAAGACGAAACCTTAAAACATAATTTTTAATTCTTGTTCATATCATATAGCTTTTGTGTACTTAAAACTATGGGTATGTAATAGCTATCTACTGTTTACATATAGGGATACTGTATGGAAATATAATATCGCCTGAATTATTTATAGTTTATTTATGTTAATGTTATTACGGCATTGAATTAGTTTTATTATATGGCTCGGGAGGTGCTTTAGTCTATCTCTGGCTCATTCTTCTCTTCCTCAGGCGGTGGCTGTGAACTGTACAATGCCAGAGTGTCGTGGCACTACACCGGTGTGGGAGGCTCCTCTGGCACCCCAACCCTCTGCTACTCCTCCTGGGGCAGTGTCAGAGACGCTGCCCACCTCGCCACCATCACTGGTTCTCCAACCACTTGGGATACTAACGTTTATATGGCCGTAAACGGTTTCTATTGTACATTAATTCACGCTGAATGTTATCACTCTGCTTATCTTCCGCAGCCTTTTTGGATGGCCGACCTTGGGGCTCTGCACAGAATAACCTCCGTCAGAGTTCAGGTCCGTAAAGACCTGTCTGGGGGTGTAAAATTTAGTAACGTGGAGGCTCGTGTAGGGAACAGCACAACTATCCCCAACAACTTGCTGCTGGGCTTCTTCCCGGGAAAAGCTTCACAGAGACAGTTAGTGACCTTCACAGCTAACACCTTCATCACTGGCTCCTTCGTCTCTCTCCAGTCCTTGGATACCGGCTGCTTTTCTATATGTAGCGTGCATATACTCTATGTATGAAGTTATGAACTTTTGTACCCTAATACATTGGAATCGGGTATAAATATCTTTATAAATAAACATCTTTATATAAATATCATAGGGTATGATATAGAGTATACATAAAAAATTTTAAAAAATATATTAGGGTGAACTAATATAATAAATATATTAGGGGTGTTATATCTAGATGAACTGAGTTATCATTTGAAATTAGACGTGCCAAGAAGTTCTTAATCTACGTAGAAAATATCAATCTTTGAATATGGTGTTTGCCAGTAAGTGTAGAACGAATCACCAGTCGACACTCCATCAATGTGTTGATGGATTGTCGGGTACATACACTACAGCGCTCAGTCGCCCAGAACGGATCAGCAAAGCATTGCTCTTCTATTACTATAATGGCATAAACTCTCCAGTGTTCACGTCTCACAGAAGTTTACTGAAATAACTGTAGCTTGATGTGTAGCAAAGAGTAAAGAAATCCACAGGAACCGTGATGAGGATTCGAACCTATGCGCTGGGTGTTCCCATGTACACTCTAGTCAACTGCCTTGTGAGTCACTGCACATTGAGGGCGACTGACGACTTCTAGTCCATGTAATTCTACGCTCACACGCACACGACTTCTTCTGTTAGCAGAAGGTCACTGTCCAGTCAATCAAAATTTATCAGTTGTCAAATTTGAAGTTTGTTTGTCCTAAATAGAAGCATAGGATCTATGCAACCTGTCTACTTTCTCGACAACGATGCTCTTTAATCCAATGATGTTGTAACATTTTGGCGTTTCTATACACATCAGGGAAGATTTTGACCGTGAATTAGCCTTTGTATTAATTACTGTAATTCAATAATTAATGCAAAATATCGCCATACGTCTAATAATATTTGTTCTTGCTGAGTTTAAAGTCTCGTAGAAAATTTAGAGATCGCGTACCTCACGTCTCTACCCTGGGGTAGCCTCCACCGTCGCCCCACTCCGCAACCTCGAGCTGCAATAACAGCGGTGGAATCAGTGAGTGTGAATGCCAACGAGAGTGTATGTCATACCGGTTTAACTAAGGTGAGTACTCAAACCATTTATTTCTCTGTATCATTCGTACGTGCCAAATTCCAAGTGTTGGGATTCGCTCGCTGGCCGCCAGGGGGTCAAGACGTGCCCGCCTGTCCTGCCAGTTGTTGCCTGGCGTTGAGTGGAGGCAGGTGTGGTTTGTGGGGCGGTGCGCCTGCTGGCCGTTGGACCCGGCTGGCGGTATGGTTGTTGGTTGTGTTTCCCGCGTTCGGCGGGTTGACACGGCGTGCATAGCCTTTTCTGGGGCTGTGGACTGGCCGCTGGTGGAGATTGCGTTCATTGATGTGCTACATGTGGACGTTCTTGATTTGCTTGGGCTGGAAAAGCTCTCACCTACTTGGGTGGCGATGTCCTTCCTTCAACTCGAGTCTGCTGTACCGGGAGTTTGTGGCGCGCTGGGATGCACGCACAATTTCTATTCCTGCATCGGCTGTGTCTGTGGAGGTTTAGGATCCCTGGAGGGCCATGCAATATGTGAGCATTCATGGTGTGCCAGTGGCTTTCCCCGTGGACGAGCTGAAGTCGGTGTTTTACGCAATACGGTGTGGCGGTGGTTCACCACTTCAACACTTTGAGTGCAAGCCGGCTGCGAGGGATACGTATGGGCACTCGTACGCTCGTTATACGGGTTACGACACCCATTCCGTCCAGAGTTTTGTATCGCGGGCTCTTGCTCCGGGTCTTTTATCAGGGCCAGACACGGACTTGTTTCCGGTGTGGTGCTGAGGGCCATGTGGCAGCCGGCTGTGACGCTCCTCGTGCTGAGGCTCCCTCGGTTTTCTTGGAGGGGTGACTTCCCCTGTTTGTCTGAGCATGGGGCTTCCTCGGCGCATACTCGCTCTGTCCTGGTGAAAGTTTGGTTCCTGCGGCAGTTTCGGCTGGCGCTCCATCTGGCCCTGGTATGTCTGCCCCACCGTTGAGCTCTGCGGACCTGGGGGCTTCTGCTTCGGGTCTTCGTCGTTCGGTGGTTGCGGGGGTGCATCCGCGGCCGGTTGCTTCCGTGGGGGCCTTGGATGTTGCTGTAGGGGTGATGCCTGCCTCTCGTGCCGACGATCGTCTCCTTCCCGGGGATTCCGGGGGTTGTGGTGGGTGAGCCCTCTCCTCCGCCCCTTGCCCCTGCCCCGCTTTGTGCCTCTGCATCGTCTCTCTTGTCGCCTTCGGTGGTCTCCTCGCCCTCCGGTCCATCTTCTCCTGCGCCGGCCCTGTCGTCCGTATTGGATGCCTCCAGTGTTCTGGAGTGTGCTCTCCCGCCTGCTGAGCCTGCTCATTCTACGTTTCCGGTCTCCGGGCATGCTGGGGCTGTCAGGGTTGTGGTGGGTGAGCCCTCCCCCCCTGCCCTTTGCCTCGGCTACCTCGTCGCCTTCGGCGAATTCCTCACTCCCTTGTGCATCTTCGCCTGCACCAGCGCTGTCGTCCGTGCTGGATACCTCACATGTGCTGGAGTGTGCCCTCCCGCCTGCCGTGTCTGATCCTTCTCCGTTTCTGGTATCCGGGCGTGGTAGTGGCTTTTTGCCCCGGGCGGTTGAGGCTGCTGTCCTGCGTGTTAGTGCTGCCCCAGCTTTGGGGCCGCCTGCCGTTGGTTCTTTTGGGGCACCGCTTGCTTGGGGTGACAGTTCCGACGATCTTCGGCCCCTTTTTAAGCGCCGTCGCTCGGCTCGGAGTGATTCGCCTCGCCGGTCGTGGGCTGAGGAGCGTGATGCGATGGACGATGACGATGTGGCCGACGCTGTGTTGCCTCCGGTGGTGCCTTCGGTGTGGACGCTGTGCCTCCTGCTGGTGGCTCCTCTCAGTGGGCGGTTGCCCCTGGTGATCGCAACCTTGTAGTGGTGTTGTCAAAGTATGTGCGGCGGGGGGACTCTGCTCCTGTTCCGGCTGGTGGGAGTGCTGGGGCCCCTGCGGAGCCACCCTCCGCGGGACTCGGTGCGGTGTCTGGCGTCGACCGGGGTGCGCGTCCTAGTGGGCGGGCCGGTGTGCGGCCTGCCGTTCAGTCCGGTGTGCTTCCTGGTGTGCGGCCCTGTGACAAGCTTCCTAGGAGGAAACCCTTCCCTTTCGTCTTCTCGTCCGGCGAGGTGGTACGTCCCGAGGCAGCTGTGGAATATGACTGTGATGACCTGGTGCGTCCTGTTCCCTTTTGCCCATCTACCATCTGGGTTCCACGGGCGCAGTGTTTTGTCACGGATGTGCCGAATTTGATGCCTTGGCCTATTGCGCCTCATGGACGTCCGATTCCTGACGTTAACCAACTTCTTTGGGGAGCTTATTGCTTACTGTTTCCAGCTCAGGAGTACCCGGAGAAGTATGAGTGATTGGTGTGTTTGGTTTCAGTCTGTGTTGTTCGTGATGATTCCCCAGTGCCTGCGTGCATGGGTGGGTGTCCTTGTCTGTGAGTGTGGGCAGTGTGGGTGTTGTTCTTTGCCCATGCTTGGCCTGTTTTGTTGTGCTTGCCTTTTATACGTGTTTGTGGTGTGGTTGTGTGCAGTTGTGGGTGTTTGGTGTTATTTCTTGCGTGTCATTGCATGCACCCCATGTTTTGTTTTGGGGTGGCGGGTGGTGTGGTTGTGTATGTTGCTTGTGTGCGTGTGTTTCTTTTCTTGGCCTCGTGTATTGCTTTATTATTTGTATTACATTTCTGTTCTTTATGTTTTTCTGTTTGTATTTCACTGTTTATGTATTTCGCTGTTTTTATTTTTTATTGTTTCCTGTAGTTATGTATTTTTACCTCTGTCAGTGGTTTCGGAGGCCTTTTCCATGTCCATGTAATTGCTGTATGTCCATTTTGCATGTTTGTTTTGTAGTTTGCCTCAGTACCTGGCGTTTCTAGGTTCTGGTGATGTTCTGTGTTCTTCTGTACCTGTATTTGTCTTTCTGTTTATGTATTGTGTATTCTGCTATACCTTGTATAATTCTTTTATAAAAAAAAAAAAAAAATCCTAGTGTTGATTTAATCAGCCGACCGGTGTTCGTTCTCAATCATCCCTCTATGGGACCAAGTTCGATTCCCGAGGAAGCACGATAGGTAAAGTCCTAATACAGCTATTCTGTGTGAGTACTGTAGCTGGACTTGAAGTGTGATTGTCATATTACATTTACATTAATTTCACAATTAACGACTCTGTGTTGTGCATCGTGTTTTAGTGTGGTTTCAATATTATACCCTTGCTGTGTGTTTAACCATGTCCATGCCATTCTTTTCCTACTTCCAGGGAACATGCTGTAATTAACAAGCAAGAACATTGTGTATGTTCTTGCTTGTCAATAAAACATTGTTGTTTTATTGACACGAGTGTCAGTGTGTTGTGTTCTTTGATTAGTGTCATTATTGTGTACTGTATTGTGTTGGTCTCCGTGACCCAGGTATTCTTTGCCTTAGTGTCATTATTGAGTATTATATTGCATTGGTCCAAGAGTCCCAGTGTTGTTGATTTAGTGTTATCATTGTAAACGGACTCCATGACCCAGCGTAGTGTCACTTAGTGCTTATTATTTTGTGATAAGTCAGTGTCACTTGTCACGGTAAAATCTCTAGGAAGAGATTCGGCCTGCTCCATCATCACCTATTCTACCCATACCACGTCTATATATTCAAGTACTACAGCAACAACAACAACTACTACTACATCCAGACATCTAAGACATTACCTCCTATACCCCCCCATACACCACTGCCCGTCACCCCACCTCGCACCTGGGTCGCTGGAAGCTCACGTCATCCGAAACAAGCAGTTTAAGAGCCGGTTAATAGTTACCGAAGCCATCAGCGCCATCTGCACGGCCGTCGTGGTGTATATATAGGGCTGCCTATCCCACTACGATTCAGATTACTCCTGAGTGCTCAGACTGAATAGACCTGTTAACACATGTCAGTGTGGTAACGGAATTAGTCAGCCTGGCTCACAGTATTCCCGCACCATATTTTATTTTGCACATTAACGTAACGTAAATTTAATTGTTTGTTTGACTTGTTTATTTGCACTCTGTATAAAGTCAAGCCAGGATATTATTTTATGTTTTGTAATATGTACAAAGTAAAGAAAAGTATTTTAAAATGTTTTTTCTCTTTTGTGCTTTATCCTACAGTCGTCACACAGTGACGATTCAACTTGCAATCTAACTTTTTTTTTCTATTTTTGTTGTTGCTTTTATGTGACTGGCATTCCATCTGCCTAAAGAGACTGCGATACCATCTATTTTCTCGACACACACTTAGTGTTCATTTATCTTGAGAAGTCAGTGTGACTTTCTGTTCATTATTCTTGAAGTCAGTATTTTGATTTAACGTAGTGGATTATCGTTTGATTAGTACGTGGTGATTAGCAATCGTGTTGACTAATCAGCGTTTGTCAAGTGGTCTCAGTGACTGCCGAGCATTAACGTAGATTCTTCGTGAGTCAAGTTGATCTGTCAAAGTTGTAACAGGACCTTGATCGGTTTCTCAGGGATTGCTAATTACCCGGAGCTGTTGTTGACTTCATTGACTTGTTTTGATTTGTTTGACTGTCTGTGTTGACATAGTGTGGTTTTCGTAGTTTACCTTGTTTTGATTGGAATGTCTTGGAGACAGAATAACATAATTGGAGTTAATAAGTAACGTAAACATCTGTAATTGTTTTGATTGAAATTGATTAGATCAATTGTCATCTGTCTGTCATTGTGTTACCGTAATTAATTGAGTGTTGCACAGAAGACTGGTATCAGTGACAGGTCTGTCTGTGTTATTTTCTTGTATCATTATTATTGCTTGCCGCAGTCGTGACGAGCTGCTATTGCATCTGGAGTGGTTGACCACTTTGTTAAGCATAGTTAACGGTAGTACCGCGACCGGTCCGAACCGGGAGACAGTTCTTCCGGCTAGCCTAGCTTTGCAAGCGCCACGATGGACATTAACGTAACGTTAGAGTATTCATGCCATGTATCGCTTGTATGAAGTTTTATGAATAAATTGTTGAACTACAAGTGCCTTTACGATCCACCTCCTAACACCCTTGTACCCTGTTCTGACTCTGCCCCTTGCCCTTTCAAGTGACATCAGCGTTGCTTGGATACTTGGACTCGAACTATTTCATGGCTATTTCATGGACTCGAACTATTTCATGGACTCGAACTATTTTCATGGCCATACACATCAGATAAAATAAATTATTTGATGTGAGAACCATCGAGTTACTCTGATAACTACCCTCAATAGTTAAGGAAGCTCCACGACTCAGTGGATTGGGAGTGCCAAGGTTCTGGACTCCTGCAGTTGCTCTATGCATTCCTGTGCAGTCTTAAAGTATAATCTGTCCTCACAGCTTTTGTTCTGATGCTAGTTCAATCCTTTCTGACTGTGGTCACTTGTTTTAATATTGGGATAACATCACATCTGGTGCCTAACGTGGTGCTGGTAACTTGTAATTGAGAGTACCACGAAGTGCCCATCTGACCAATAGATACGTGTAACCTTTCACCTTGTATGTGTGAGATTGTAATAATCTCACACTTACACAACAGCTATCGTTATAGTGTGAGAGAAGCGTGGACGAATGCAATGCAGGAACCCAAGTTAGCGTGACACATGGAGTAACATGCAAGTGAGTGTGTCATGAAGGGACGGACACTCTAGTGAGCGTGACACCTGAACGGACACACTAAGATCACAGACCTGACAGCATATATTTGTATGTCAGCAACTGAAAAATGTAAAATGACTTCATTGATTATCGTTTAAAAGTTAACACGCTCAAGATGATTTACTAGCAAGAATTAAAAAGCATTTTTAAACATGTGCAGTTGCTTTCCCAGCCACTTGGGCAGGACGGTATAGCAAAGGTCTCGCTTCAAGCAGGTCTGGGTTTAATCCCTGACCGTCCAAATTTTTGGGCACCATTCCAAACACCCGTCAAATCCCAAATCCTTATCCGGATCCCTTCCAAGTGTTATATAGTTGAAACGGGTTGACGTTATCTCCTGATAATTCCCTTCTCTTCCCACGGTTTTGCTGCACGCATGTACATATTGACATACTCTAGCACGCTTACACACACACACACACACACACACACACACACACACACACACACACACACACACACACACACACACACACACACACACACAATTTTAGCAAAGAAGAGCAGCCTACTCAATGTACTGAAGTTCAAAAAGGTATTCCTGCAGAGGGATATGACCAGGGAGGAGAGACAGAGAGCAGCAGCAGCAAGGAAGGAACGCACGGAGAGGGAAAGGAATCAGGTAACCACAACCCAGAACCCTACGATCCCAGAAGGGAGTGGGGAACCCTCCACAGGCAATTCAACAGCCCCAGTGGGAGGAGAATCACACCCATCACCCACCCAATAGAAGCCCTACCTGCCCCAGCCCCTACACTCCTCCACCACCCTAAGCCCTCCCTTCTCTCCCACCCACCTATCCCCTCCCTCCTCCCCCACCCCCCTAAGCTCTCCCTTCTCCCCCCACAAGCCCTTTTTCCTCCCCCTCTCCCCCACGCCCTCCTTTCTCCCCCATCCCCCTAGCCCTCCTTTCTCCCCTATCCCCAAGCCCTCCCTCCCCCCTTCCCCCCAAACCCCCCCACTTCTCCCCATTCCCCCATGCCCTCCTTCTCCCCCACCCCTCCAAGCCCTCACTTCGCTCCTACCCTTTTGAAACCAGATCCTCCCAGCCCCCCCACAACCCACGTCCCCCTCACTCTCAGCTCGCCTCATGACCCAGGGCCCTCCCCCCCTTCCCCCTCCACATCCCAGACCCTCCATGTTTACCTACTCCAGTAAATGCAACAGAAACTGTGGATGGAGGGAAAAGAGTCAGCTTCAAGGTGATGTACACGAACATAGATGGGACTACAAGCAAGGCGAGTAAATTTAGGGAAAGAGCACAAGAAGTAAACCCAGATGTAATTGGGATCACGGAAACAAAACTCTCAGGAATCATTACAAATGTGGTGTTCCCCCAGGACTACACTGTAATAAGGAAAGAGAGGGAGAGTAGGGGAGGAGGTGGAGTGGCCCTACTCATGAGAAAGGAATGGAGTTTCAAGGAGATGGTCATCCCAGGCTGTGAAGGGTTTAGAGACTAACAGACACCATGACGATGGGAGGACCAAGAGTAGTAGTAGCAGTGATATATAACCCTCCACCAAATGACAGAAAACCCAATCAAGTGTATGACAGAAACAACATATGGCAGTTAATAACATAATTGAGAGGGCAGCTTCTGCTGCCTGTAGAAATCGATCCCATCTGCTCATCATGGAGGACTTCAATCACGGAAGGATAGACTTGGAGAACAAGGAACTGCACGGAGGAGAGGATACATGGAGAACCAAACTAGTGGAGGTGGCGACAAGAAACTTTCTAAGCCAACATGTCAGAGAACCCACTAGGATGAGGGAAAACGATGAACCAGCGAGACTCGACCTAGTATTCACTATGAATGCCTCCGACATAAGGGAAATTGACTTCGAGGCCCCAGTAGGAATGAGCGATCACAGTGTACTGACGTTTGAGTTTCTGGTCGAAGAAGGGCTAAAGTTTTCGAGAAAGGGAACTGAAAGCAAAAGGCTAGCATTCCGTAAGGGAAATTACGAGGAGATAAGAAAATTCCTAACGTATATAACATGGGAATCAGAGCTAAGGGGAAAAGACGGCCCAAGAGATGATGGAATACATCGCACAGAAGTGTAAGGAGGCAGCAGAAAAGTTTATCCCGGCCAAAAAGGTAAACAATGAAATGCAGATGAGAAACCCATGGTTTAATCAGAGATGTAAGCTAGCTAAGCAACAAAGTAAAAGACCTTGGAGAAACTATAGAAATAACAGGACACTTTAGAGCAGAGAAGGTTACAAGAGAGCCAGGAGTTAAGAGAAGTCCTTGAACTGAGAAAGGTGCAGTAAATAAAGCAACATTGGAAGAAATTCAAATGGCTAGAAAGGAGCTTCAGAAGGATCATCTAGAGCATGCCGCAACAGAAGTAGTTGGGCTTGACAAGATCTGTTCATGTACACTAAAAGAGGGTCCAGAAGCACTATGCGTACCACTCTCAATGGTCACTTGTAACAGGAGATCTACCAGAAAGTTAGAAGAGAGGTTCTATAATCCCAATACTGTACATTAAAAGAGTGATGGCCAAAAGGCACTGTACTACAAGCTATAGTGTCACAAACTTGCAATCTTGTTGAAAAATCGTGACACTTGTTGTGTTGGGGACATGAAAGACGGCTTCTTCAACTGGTCAGATGTAACACAAACAAGGAGCAACGGTTCTAAGCTCAACAAGCAACATATAAGATAGAAAACAAGGGATTCTTTTATACCCATACGAAACGTAGTGTGTATTAGTGACTTTAGGCATAAAATGTACTAGCTCTATCCAGAAATCCAACTTTCTGTTTGAAACTTATTTTGTATATATGTACTTATACCTGAATAAACATTATTAATATTATTATTATTAATCCATGGAACTGCCTACACGCCGAGAAATAGGATGCTGAATGTTAAAATCAAGCTTGACAAAATCATTAGGAAAAATAGGGGAACCTTTGAAAAGTCTCCGGCTTACTTTCCTCGTCGAGGCCACTTGTGAGATAGTGGCCCTCAGGTAAATTAAGGTAAATTCAGGCTTCATCTGATTTTCCAAGATTTTGCACTGTGACCAATTTTGACTTTGCATTGATATATCTACTGATTCAAAATGCATAACCTAACAATACATCATATGTACATAGGCAGCGATAAAAGTAGAATATAGAGCTATTGCCACCAATCATAAATGAAGAAACATTACATGTTCGAAGTCACTACATATATGCATGTCTCCCATTGAAAGTGCTAGTGTTTTCTCTATTACCAGAATGGTGTAAGAAAATGGTTTCATAGGGACTATTTTAAACATGTTCGAAGTCACTACATATATGCATGTCTCCCATTGAAAGTGCTACTGTTTTCTCTAATAACAGAATGGTGTAAGAAAATGGTTTCATAGGGACTATTTTAAATATTATTTTCACTAATATATCATAAATTCTTACCCTGATAGCAATAAGGTAATAAACTCATGATGATATTCAGATGCTTTTGGTATGATTTGTTTACAGAAATAGTCAGTGTTTTTGTAAACATCGAGTTGTGTTCAGTTAACAAATTCATACCAGTAAACTGGGATGTGTACCCTGTTCCTGCTGACCCCTGGGATGTGTTCCCTGGTCCTGCTGACCCCTGGGATGTGTACCCCGGTTCCAGCTGACCCCTGGGATGTGTACCCTGTTCCAGCGGACCCCTGGGATGTTTACCCTGGTCCTGCTGACCCCTGGGATGTGTACCCCGGTTCCAGCTGACCCCTGGGATGTGTACCCTGGTCCTGCTGACCTCTGGGATGTGTACCCTGGTGCAGCTGGCCCCTGGGATGTGTACCCTGTTCCAGCTGACCCCTGGGATGTGTACCCCGGTTCCAGCTGACCCCTGGGATGTGTACCATGGTTCAACTGACCCCTGGGATGTGTACCCTGTTCCAGCGGACCCCTGGGATGTGTACCCTGGTACAGCTGACCCCTGGGATGTGTACCCCGGTTCCAGCTGACCCCTGGGATGTGTACCCCTGGTCCAGCTGACCCCTGGGATGTGTACCCCGGTTCCAGCTGACCCCTGGGATGTGTACCCCTGGTCCAGCTGACCCCTGGGATGTGTACCCCGGTTCCAGCTGACCCCTGGGATGTGTACCCTGGTCCTGCTGACCCCTGAGATGTGTTTACGTTTAGAAACGTAAATCAGGGATCTTTCAAGATAATCTACACAGTCTTCACTTATACAAGTACTGGAATATGCAGCAACTAAGGAAATACTCGCACCTTAAGCAGAGGGACCAAACTACTCGCACCTTAAGCAGAGGGACCAAACTACTCGCACCTTAAGCAGAGGGACCAAACGTGGAGTGCAGAGCAAGCAGAAGTTCTGGAAGCTACTTCCATCCACAACTTTAAGGCCAGAATTGACAAAGATTTCGATCGTCAGAAACGTTAGACTGTAACTTCACTTCCCTGTAGTCAACTGTAGGTTAGGTACCACCACTGGCACCACTCACACTAACACAGTAATTGCTACCACAACCACTATCAGCATTATAACTACCACCAGACCACCACCACCATTCTCAACAGCATTTACCATAAGCAAACAGACTACTATCACCACCAACACCACAGGCACCACTACCACCACCACTACCACTACCATAACCACCACCACAACCACAACCACCACCACAACCACTACCACCACCACAACCACAAACACCACACCACAACCACCACCACTACCACAACCACCACCACTACCACAAACATCACAACCACCACCACTACCACAACCACCACCACTACCACAACCACCACCACTACCACAACCACCACCACTATCACAACCACCACCACTACCACCACCACTACCACCACCACCACAACCACCACCACTACCACAACCACCACCACTACCACAACCACCACCACTATCACAACCACCACCACTACCACCACCACTACCACCACCACTACCACCACTACCACAACCACCACCACTACCACCACCACAACCACCACCACTACCACAACCACCACAACCACCACCACTACCACAACCACCACCACTACCACCACCACAACCACCACCACTACCACAACCACTACCACAACTACCACCACCACTTTCGTATTAATATGGCTCAATAAATATATTGTCGGGAGCAGATTATACTTCGTGAACATAATATTTACAAGAACCTTCCGATAATGAACGAAAATTACCTTTCAGAGATTTCCAGCTTGGAAAAATAACTGTTAAAACATAAGCCTGCAAACACCTTTTTTAAGGCCGACCCAACAACCACTGAACAATATATTTAACGATACCAGGTTACTGATGATAGACGTATGGTTTTGCTCTTGGTAAAGGTGGATTCTGAACCTATTAGGTAGGGATATTCCTGCGTGGACCCCCTAAATGTTTCCTGCGTGGCCCTCTTAAGTGTTTCCTGAGTGGGCCCTAAGCTCTGGCTGACCCCAACTAAGTATTACTCAAGCTTTGTTTCCCTCTTACTTAAGCGGTGGATAAGTATTTTATAACTTGTACGTTGGCTTCATTATCATTATGTCCAATGTACAAGAGGTAGAATAGCTTATTGACAGAGCCCGGGTGCATGGGGGAAATTGTGTAAAACCCTGGTTTGTGTCTCGGAGGGGCTGCAGTATCCGTGTGAGGTCAGTTGAACTCCCGATTGCAATTCTTTTGACCATGACGTAGCACAGTCGATTAAGGCGCGTCTAGGATACTCTCGGACGTAGGTTCGATCCCTCATCACGGGATTTGTTCATTTGATGCATCACACTATTGTGATTTCTGTGTGTAATTATGTCCAATGTGTTTAACAGCTTCCTCTGTGTTGTTAACTCTTAGTCGATATCTTCTTTGGTGTGTAACTGTGCATTGTGTTATCACATGTTCCAGTGGTCTGTCGGGCAGTTCTCCAGAGTGCTGACATTTCCTCTCCTCTTCAGGGACCAGTAAGCCTATTTATTACCCATGCACATAAATATCCAAGCCTGATGCGATGTAAGTGCACTTCTGTTTTTCTATTGCTACCTTTCATCAAAATAAGTGGTTCGTAGTTGGTTGAATTCAGTTAACTATGAAGTAAGTGGCCCAATCATGCTTTAAAAGGGGCAAATAATGGACACAGGCTGGTCGCTGCGTATCAGAGGATCATCCAAGATAAATATTGTGAAGTACAATACAAATTTGCATTAACAACCATGACTGAAATGTATAGCTTATGACTGAAACTTTTAACCATGCTGGAATGTTTTAAACCAATACTCCTCATTTATAACAAAAGGGCACCATGACTGCCAGGAAAATTGACATTAAAACGATAAATTGTCACGTTTTATGTTGCTTGTCCTGGAAGTATATTTACAAGTGCCTGGAGTGCAACACACTGATGCTCGGCTGCTACCATAATGTTGTCTATGTTAGAGGAGCAGCCGCAGGGAGGCTGGTACTTCTCGAGGTCAATTTTCCTCACTCCGGCTCGTGGGTCTAAAAGACCCATCAGTTGAGGTTATTGAAGGTTGTGGCCAGTTAGAACGCACTCGAGCATAGCTTATGTGGGCCTCTCTTTTATCACTTATTTGCTTTCATTGCATTATTGTCTATTATATACTCTTCCTCCATCTCTGTTGCTGTCCTAGATGTTCGTTGTCTCATTCTCTATTGCTGTTCGTCAGTCTCTCTCTCTCTCTCTCTCTCAATGCTTGTCCATCAGGCGGTCGACCTCAAAATCGCCTTCATAGTTAATAATGCAGATAGTCACAATAACGTGGCTCAAGTTAGGATAATCAAAAAACACTTCACAAAATGAAGAAACGACGACGTTTCGGTCCGTCCTGGACCATTATTGTACCGTTATGATAATGGTCATCATCAATTAATAATTATATATTATAATTATGTACATAATTATGCGTTCGTTAAGTTTGGTTAAGTATTAGGTTGTTTTGATAGCTACTTATATTTACAATATGTGAAGCAAGCATTTACGGAGCTGTGATTCGAATATATAAGGAAAGCGAAGCAATGTTAGAAAAATGTGTGGATTTGAATTTGCCTTACTTGGACACAATGAGGGCCTCCTACTGCCCCTTGGTAAACTTGGACACAATGAGGGCCTCCTACTGCCCCTTGGTAAACTTGGACACAATGAGGGTCACCTACTGCCGCCTGCTAAACTTGGACACAATGAGGGCCTACTGCTGCCCCCTGGTAAACTTGGACACAATGAGGGCCACCTACTGCCCCTTGGTAAACTTGGACATAATGAGGGCCTACTGCTGCCCCTGGTAAACTTGGACACAATGAGGGCCACCTACTGCCCCTTGGTAAACTTGGACACAATGAGGGCCTACTGCTGCCCCCTGGTAAACTTGGACACAATGAGGGCCACCTACTGCCCCTTGGTAAACTTGGACACAATGAGGGCCTACTGCTGCCCCCTGGTAAACTTGGACACAATGAGGGCCACCTACTGCCCCTTGGTAAACTTGGACACAATGAGGGCCTACTGCTGCCCCTTGGTAAACTTGGACACAATGAGGGCCACCTACTGCCCCTTGGTAAACTTGGACACAATGAGGGCCTACTGCTGCCCCTTGGTAAACTTGGACACAATGAGGGCCACCTACTGCCCCTTGGTAAACTTGGACACAATGAGGGCCTACTGCTGCCCCTTGGTAAACTTGGACACAATGAGGGCCACCTACTGCCCCCTGGTAAACTTGGACACAATGAGGGCCACCTACTAACTCCTAGCAAACTTGAAAACGCTTTCCTAATTTTTTTCAATAGCAGTTTCCAGTCTAAATAACATCTACACAATGTGTACCGACCATGATAAACTGTCCTACATGACTAATTTACTCCAATATATATATATATATATATATATATATATATATATATATATATATATATATATATATATATATATATATATATATATATATATATATATATATATATATATATATATATATATATATATATATATATATATATATATATATATATATATATATATATATATATATATATACTTCACCCTTCTCTCGCAGAGAACAAAATAACACAATATAAATGAATAAACTTATTGGCACTCTAATTTCTTTAGTGAACTGTTAGGCACATTTCACTCCTTTACCAAACCAAACATCTTATTACCACTGAAGATAAATTCTCTTTAACATGAAGGTATAGTTAATGCAGGCACTCCATTTTCAGCTACTAATTAAGGTGAAACAATATACTAAACTGAATATAATGAAGATGGATAAACGAGAGTAGTCATTAGTGTCTCCCAGTAACGAGGCTCCTATCAAAGTATAATCATTACGGCCGCTAATCACAGGCCTTCCGCTGAACATCTCGTGCAGGTGAGGATTATACTAAAGCACTACCACTGACTCGCGCCTGGCTCGATTTAATAATGTATTTTACCGGTAATTTGGTAATTTGGTATATATATATATATATATATATATATATATATATATATATATATATATATATATATATATATATATATATATATATATATATATATATATATATATATATATATGCAAACAAGCCTGAATGGTCCCCAGGACTATATACAACTGAAAACTCACACCCCAGAAGTGACTCGAACCCATACTCCCACAACTGGTATGTACAGGGACGCCTTAATCCGCTTGACCATCACGACCGGACATAAGGAAGTGATAGCCGAGGCTATATGAACCACTTCCCCGCCGGCACTCGGATGGTAATCTTGGGCATAGCATTTTATCAAATCACCTCATTCTTTGGGGCACACGTGAGGAACACAAATGCAAACAAGCCTGAATGGTCCCCAGGACTATATACAACTGAAAACTCACACCCCAGAAA